GATCCTTTAGTGGGTCTGGGTAAGACAAAGCATCAAGGCAGAAATGAATCCATGATCTGAGCTGTATGGTCTCGATTCCTTAATGGAGGTATGTAGGGGATCATCATAGGGTTCTATTGGGCTTAGGGTTTAGGGTGAAAACTCCTTAGACGGGGGCATATAGGGGATTATAGGGGAATACAGCAGGGGTGATGAAGTGGGATACTAAACCCTAAACCCTAGGAGTTTAGATTACAGCTCATGTCATCTCTGCCAGGAGTTCGTCAAGAAGCTGGCGTAGTTGCCCTGAGCTGCAGAGTCAGCTCCTTCAAGAGTCAGTTTCTATTCAGCTTGGATTAAAGCAAGGGTTTAGGGTTTTGGGTTTAGGGTATGTCAGCAGCAACTCAGCTTAATGCCCTACGGAAACTAAAGGCGAGACCAGACGGGCTTTGCTTTAATCCCTTGATATTGCCTGCTGTGAAACCACATGCATGGCCATGGAGAGCTTTCCGAGTTTGTTCCCCACCAGCAAGGCCTCGCAACAAGAATCAAGGGGTGCTAGCCACCCGAGCCCGCAAAAAGAGCCATGATAACGCGAGGCTGGAGCATGGAGCGTACAACTCGGGAAAGCCTATAGTACCCTTTAAGTAGATAGAATATGGGGTTCATGGGGATCTTCTTCTAGTAGACCCAAAGCTATATTCTATCTACTTCAGGGGGACTCTATGCATCGAATAACAAGTGCATGTACAGGTGGCAGCCGCACGGAACACAGTGAACAGAAAAGCCCATGACTCATGTTTAGACTGTTTAGGGTTTACGGTTTAGGGTGTAGACCCGTGATTAACACACCCCCTCCTTTTAAGGGCCTTTTTAAGGGTAATATAGGGGTAATATAGTAATATTTGGGATAGGGATTACATAGGGATTACATAGGGATAAGGGTGATTAATAAAACCCCTCCTTTTAAGGGCCTGAAAATTAGGATCCCTATTGTAGTCCCTATTAAGGGGAGGGGACTTATTAATCAGAGGTCTACCCTAAACCCTAAACCCTAAACCCTGAACCCTAAACCCTAAACCCTAAACCCTAAACCCTGAACCCTAAACCCTAAACCCGCTACATCATCCACAAAGGTTTGCAAAGCAAGCCATTGGCTGCCATCAGTTTCAGCTTCGCGGGTGTTCATCCACAGCAACAACTCGAAGCCATGATTCGCAATTGCGAGCCACAGCTATAGGCGATAATTGTAAACGCTAGCGCGCGCCCGCCTCGGCTGGCCGGGCTTCCCACTGTAGGAACATGCAACTATAGATATACAG